TATGTATATATATATATATATATATACTGTATATATATATTTATATACAGTATATATTTATATACAATATATATGTACAGTATATATGTGTATATATGTATTTATATACAGTATATATATATGTACATATATATACATATTTATGTATATATACTTATACATACATATATATGTGTATATACATATGTATATGTACATGTATATGTATATATACATACATATACATATATATGTGTATATACATATATATTCATATATACCTGTATATACATATGTATATGTATATATACATATATATGTATATATATATATGTATATGTATATATACATATATGTATATATGTATATATGTATATGTATATATACATAGACATCTATGTATATATACATGTATATAATATATATTGCAACAGTATACGCCCCCTACGGTCATACGTGGTCACATAATATGATGTCACTACGAATACTCGACGCAACATTTTTAACCTCGATAGATGTCCTAGCAATTGATGTGTAGATTACTCAAGTACTCTATTAATGCCCTAACATATATATATATGTATATATATATATATATATATGTATATGCATATATATGTATATATATATATATATATATATGTGTATATATATATATGTGTGTATATATTTATATATATAAAGTGTATGTATATATACATATATATATATATATATATATATATATATATATATATATATACATACACACACACACACACACACACACACACACACACACACACACACCCTCCCTTGGCTGCCACCTTACCGTGGTGGAGGGGTTTGAGTGTCCCAATGATCCTAGGAGCTATGCTGTCAGGGGCTTTATGCCCCTAGTAGGGTCACCCATGGCAGACAGGTCCTAGGTGAGGGACCAGACAAAGTGCAGCCCAAAGACCCCGATGATGACACAAATAAATGGACCTAGTGTTCCCTTGCCCGGACGTGGGTCACTGGGGCCCCACTCTGGAGCCAGGCCTGGAGGTGAGGCACGCGGGCGAGCGCCTGTTGGCCAGGCTTTTACCCATGGAGCTCGGCTGGGCACAGCCCGAAGAGGAGACGTGGGTCCCCCTTCACATGGGCTCACCGCCTGTGGGAGGGGCCAAAGGGGTCAGGTACAATGTGGGATGGGTGTTGGCCGAGGGCGGGGATCCTGGCGGTCTGATCCTCGGCTACAGAAGCTGGCTATTGGGACGTGGAATGTGACCTCACTGGTGGGGAAGGAGCCTTAGCTGGTGTGTGAGGCTGAGAGGTTCCGGCTAGAAATAGTCAGACTCACCTTTACTCCTGGCTCTGGCTCTGGAACCAGTTTCCTTGAGAGGGGCTGGACACTCTTCCACTCTGGAGTTGTCCCTGGTGAGAGGCGCCGAGCAGGCGTGGGCATACTTATTGTCCCCCAACTTGGTGCCTGTGTATTGGGGTTCACCCCAGTAAATGAGAGGGTGGTCTCCCTCCGCCTACATGTGGGGGGACGGGTTCTGACTGTCGTTTGTGCTTATGCACCAAATGGCAGTTCAGATTATCCACCCTTTCTGGAGTCCTTGGAGGGGGTACTGGAAAGTGCACCTTCTGGGGACTCCCTTGTTCTGCTGGGGGACTTCAATGCTCATGTGGGCAATGACAGTCAGACCTGGAGGGGTGTGGTTGGGAGGAACAACCCCCCTGATCTGAACCAGAGTGGTGTTCTGTTGTTGGACTTCTGTGCTCGTCATGGATTGTCAATAACGAACACCTTGTTCAAGCATAAGGGTGTCCATATGTGCTCTTGGCACCAGGACACCCTAGGCTGCAGTTCGATGATCGACTTTGTCATCGTCTCATCTGATCTGCGACCACATGTCTTGGACACTCGTGTGAAGAGAGGGGCGGAGCTGTCAACTGATCACTACCTGGTTGTGAGTTGGCTCCAATGGTGGGGGAGGATGCCGGTCAGACCTGGCAGACCCAAACGTATTGTGAGGGTTTGCTGGGAACGTCTGGCAGAGTCTCCTGTGAGACGGAGTTTCAACTCCCACCTCCGGGAGAACTTTGAACATGTTCCGAGGGAGGTGGGGGACATTCAATCTGAGTGGACCATGTTTCGTGCCTCTATTGTGGAGGCGGCTCAATAGAGCTGTGGCCGCAAGGTTGTCGGTGCCTGTCGCGGCGGCAACCCTCGAACCCGATGGTGGACACTGTCGGTGAGGGATGCTGTCAGGCTGAAGAAGGAGTCCTATCGAGCCTTTTTGGCCTGTGGGACCCCGGAAGCAGCTGATGGGTACCGGCAGTCCAAGCGACATGCGGCTCGGGTGGTTGCTGAGGCAAAAACTCGGGCATGGGAGGAGTTCGGAGAGGCCATGGAGAACGACTTCCGCACGGCTTCGAGACGATTCTGGTCCACCATCCGGCGTCTCAGGGGGGAAAGTGGTACGCCACCAACCCTGTTTATAGTGGGAGTGGTTTGCTGCTGACCTCAACTCGGGATGTTGTGGGTCAGTGGGCGGAATACTTTGAAGACCTCCTCAATCCAACCGGCACGTCTTCCACTGAGGAAGCGGAGCCTGGGGACTCTGGGTCGGGCCTTCCAATCTCTGGTGCTGAGGTCACCGAGGTGGTTAAAAAGCTCCTCGGTGGCAGGGCCCCAGGGGTGGATGAGATTCGCCCAGAGTTCCTTAAGGCTCTGGATGTTGTAGGGTTGTGTTGGCTTACGCGACTCTGCAATATTGCGTGGACATCGAGGGAAGTTCCCCTGGATTGGCAGACCGGGGTGGTGGTCCCCCTATTCATAAAGGGGGACCACCACGTGAGTGTGTTCCAACTACAGGGGAATCACGCTCTTAAGCCTCCTTGGTAAGGTCTATTCGGGGGTTCTGGAGAGGAGGGTCCATCGGATAGTCAAACCTCGGATTCAGGAGGAGCAGTGCGGTTTTCGTCCTGGCCGTGGAACACTGGACCAGCTCTACACTCTCAGCAGGGTCCTGGAGAGTGCGTGAGAGTTTGCCCAACCAGTCTACATGTGCTTTTTGGACTTGGAGAAGGCGTTCGACCGCGTCCCTCGGGGGGGCCCTATGGGGGGTACTCTGGGAGTATGGGGTACCGGGCCCTTTGATACGGGCTGTTAGGTCCCTGTTGACCGTGTCAGAGCCTGGTCCGCATCGCCGGCAATAAGTCGGGCTTGTTCCTGGTGAGAGTTGGACTCCACCAAGGTTGCCCTTTGTCACCGATTCTGTTCATAACTTTTATGGACAGAATTTCTAGGCACAGCCAAGGTGTTGAGGGGATCCGTTTTGGTGGCCTTAGGATTGCATCTCTGCTTTTTGCAGATGATGTGGTCTTTTTGGCTTCATCAGATCGTGATCTACAACTTTCGCTGGAGCGGTTCGCAGCCGAATGCGATGCGGCCGGGATGAAGATCAGTTCCTCCAAATCCGAGGCCATGGTCTTGAGCCGGAAAAGGGTAGAGTGCCCTCTCCGGGTCAGGGAGGAGGTCCTACCCCAAGTGGAGTAGTTCAAGTATCTTGTGGTCTTGTTCACGAATGAGGGAAAAATGGAGCGTGAGATCGATAGGCGGATAGGTGCAGCGTCTGCAGTGAAGCGGGCGCTGTACAGGTCTGTCGTGGTGAAGAGAGAACTGAGTCAAAAGGCGAAGCTCTCAATTTACCGATCGATCTACGTTCCCACCCTCATCTATGGTCACGAGCTTTGAGTTGTGACCGAAAGAATGAGATCTCAGAAACAAGCGGCCGAAATTAGTTTTCTCCGCAGGGTGTCTGGGCTCTCCCTTAGAGACAGGGTGAGAAGCTTGATCATCCGGGAGGGACTCAGAGTAGAGCCGCTGCTTCTCCATGTCGAGAGGAGCCAGTTGAGGTGGCTTGGGCATCTGTTTAGGATGCCTTCTGGACGCCTCCCTGGTGAGGTGTTCCGGACATGTCCCACCGGAAGGAGGCCCAGAGGAAGACCCAGGACACGCTGGAGGGACTATGTTTCTCGGCAGGCCTGGGAACGCCTCGGGATTCCCCCGGAAGAGCTGGCCCAAGTTGCTGGGGAGAGGGAAGTCTGGGCCTCCCAACTTAGGCTGCTACCCCCGCGACCCGACCCCGCATAAGCGGAAGAAAATGGATGGACACACACACACTCTATATAAAGAAAAAAAGAGGAAAGACAAAGAGGAGATAAGGTTATTGTGTTTTGCCACAATCTCAAACCTCATCGTTTTCACACTACATCGCACTAGTTAAGGGTCTGCCCGTTCCCACCCCCACTCAGCCTGGTTTATGGGACCACCTTGTTTGAGGTTTCAAACGTTCTGCTCCGAGGTGCCGATTTTGATGTAAGCATATCAGCCATTGGTTGGCGAGTGGAGATATGTCACTGGATGACCCGCCCTGCCAAACAGCCAACTACATCTGAACCACCATGTTCTCATCATGTTGCCAGACAGCACCATAAGAAATGAGCGCATTTACCAAGAGCTATCGGAGATGATGACGCAGCATGGCTAGACCTGGAATTGTAAGCAGTGATAAGCTAAAGAAATTGAAGTCATATTATAAGAATATTATGGACCACAGCGGGCGAAGTGGCTCAATTACAATGACCAGTTACGATACCACCCACTTTGCATTAACGATCCTGGGCACAGAGCGGGGAAACAAGTCTTAGTGGCAAATCACAGACACCTGAGAAGAAACGATAAAACAAGAGCCAAGTTTAGTCGCACTTATCAGCGGCAAAGCGGCTTTAGAGATGATATGGAAGTGGTTGGAGTGAGGACAAAGGATGCAGAGGATAGAGTGAGTTGGAGGATGACTTGCTGTGACAATCCCTAAAAAGAGAAAAGCTGAAAGAAGGTGTATGAAATGTGTAATAATTTATCAGGTGTACACTTGAAATAAAATAAATTTGTGCTTTGAGACTTTGAGAGACGGAGCACCTTCTTGGTCTTCTGCCCTCAGAGAGTAGATAAAATGTGGTTAAAACACGTTTTGTTGTTTATAGGAAACGGCCATGGTCCAGAAACTCCAGCTGCGCCTGTTTTGTGAGAAGAGCCATCATTACCTTTCCCATTGCGAGCTCAGTGTGAGGCTTCAGGTACAACAAGAAGCAGAACATTTATTTTTTGGTATATTTTTCTGTTTCCAAACTCAACTTCTTCCATGCTAGGCGTTTCTGGGTGTGTGTGACGTCCTGATGGCTCATTCATACCAGCTGCAGGTGTGGGATCCCACCTGCTTTGGCACACTGCTGTACACACCCAGTCCTAAACTGCAGAGGGCGCTGTTGGCTTTTGTGTCCTCACACGTTTTTGTGGGCCTGGACTGTGACAGTCAGAGTAGAGGTGAGATCTAAGCATTTTTTTTTCTTTCAACAGAGTTGAAAATACAATTTTCTTCATCGATTTAAATTGTGTTTTAGTTGTTACACTTTGAAAGACGTTTACTGGGTGTAAAGGTGAGATGATTTGTGTTGGAATGCCAATCTGATCAATCAGTTAGCACATTTTGCACATTTTGATTAGGATGTTCAAGCTTCCAGCGGTTCAGTGACGCTGATACTTCTTGTGTCCAGTTTGGACTTTAGAAATTAGCAAAGTCAGCATATTTGTAGATATAGAATGGATTTACCAGCTTTAGTCAATGAACAGCCACCATGCTGTTCTTTAAACAGACTGAGTTTATTGCAGCTCCTCAGACTGAAGAAGCTTTTTGGGTAAAAGATGAAATGTTTTAACAAGAAGAATCTGTCCAGCTTGACTTAACTTTGTTAGATTTTTCTACCTGGATTATTGATCATGCATCAGGTTAATCAGTTGATTTGGTTCCTTGAGTTCCAGTGTGAAAATTACAACCCAAAGTCAGGTGATCTATTCTCTGTTTTATTGTTCATTATTCACCTACTTTCAACAACTGGCAAGAATGTCCCAAACACAAACTGTCCATATGTTCAGTGGAATGTTCTCTGAAAATGAGAGGCAAGAAAATCATCAAAACAGAAAGAACCAAGTGAAAAATATAAAGCCAGTTCCTCCTCACGTATATATATATGATATTAGTGACAATCTGCCTGATTTACACGGAGCACTGACCTTCATATTCTCACAACAGAAATTCTGAATAACGCACAGTTAATTGCCAAATTCTATGTTGAATGAGAATGATCTGGAGAAAAATAGTTCTCATCGTTCAACGTTACCAACCCGAGTACACCTAGTCATGATGATCTTCATGTGAAGACTCTCAGGTCGTTTTCACACCAGATAGTCGGGTAGACTCGGTTCGGTTCAGGACCAACATTCATGACCTTTTGTTTACATTTGAGCTGGTGCATTTGCATTCACACTGCACTGTGCAGTCAGTCAACCTGTTGAACCAACCTGTTCCCCCGCTCGCCTGTGGGGGCGCTGCACCAAGAACTACTGAAAGAAACGACACAAAAACCTCTGAAGACGCATCTTGTTCTTCTTCTGTAAATAAAAATAAAAATGAAGTGGCATCAAGTTTTAGCAGTTTTAGGAGTTATATTTTGTCATTTTTCAAAAATGGACTTAGCATGAGCAGAAGATGAGACAGAAGGCCATGGAGAATATTCTGATGCATGCTCAATAATCCAGGTAGAAAAATCTAAAAAAGTTAAATCTGGTCCTCTGGGCATTCAAAAAAACAAAACAAAGCAAATCAACAAAAAAATGTAGAAACGTTTCGTCTCTCATCCGAGAGACTTCCTCAGTCTGAGGAG